ACACACACACACACACACACACACACACACACACACACACACACACACTAACACACACACACTGCTATTAAACAACCTGTGGATGAACGTGAGTAAAGTTGATCCCAGAAGCAGAAATAAACTTCCTGTTTTATGTGTATCTTTATGAGATATGTGGCTTTCATGGTCATTTAGGTTCTAACATTATAAAGTTAATCAAGTTTAGTAAAGGCCCTGTCACTCTAGACACRTTATGCCAACTTATGAAACATTTTTATGTCTAAATTGCTAATAAAAGTTTTATATTTGATCCTTTTGTTTGAATTACATTATGTACACGCCGAAAAGAAGCTTCCTGTTGATTTTTTCAGTTCCATCTTCAATGTAGATGTCTTTAACATGTTCACGAGTTGGCATAAGTTGTCTAGTGAGACAGGGCCTTAACCACTGAGTGTTTGTTTTTAATACAAAACATGTAATAAACATGAGGATGTGCCATTAGATGAAAAAAAAGTAGGTTTCTGAAGGTTTTAATTGGAAGGCAGGCTCACCGTTAATTCCAGTTTGGTGTGACATCGTTTGGCTTCACGTCCCACTCATGCAAGAAAGACCACGTCCAGGTTCTCCGTGTCCCCTCTGAGCAGGTGAGCTGCCTCACCTCTGATGGCAGGCAGACGGACTCACACGTACGAATGACATAAACGCCTCGAGGGTGACTCGGGAGCTTCCCAACACTTGAAACACAATCTGCGGAAGCGCAGCTAATGAGCAATAACGTGCCGGTCAATGGATACGCCACCCCAACAATGCATCTGAATCGCTCCGCATTGTCAGTGAACGCAACTTTGTCTGACAGCAGAGGGGTGGTGGTGGTAGTGGGGTGGGTGAAGCTGGTCACAGGCTGTCCTGTACCTGCCCAGTCGGCGCAGAGGTATTCAGATGATGGTGATGACAGCGGCGGTCAGTGCGGGGCTTCCAGAGGAGGCTGCTGTGCCAAATGTAATGACATTTTAGCACTCCTCAAAGAACGGCCCATCAACTCAGGCAGACGAAACTCCACCATCTCAAATTCCAGCCACCTGGTCACAGAAACGTGACACCAAGCAAGAATCTGACCGATACATTTCAACACTGCTCCCCCGTCACAGGAACCTGTGCTCAGTCGATTCGGTGCATTTGATCAGTGAGTGCGTAAACGAAGGGGCAACGGCGCTTTTCACAATTTGCCACGATATCTTTTGAATTAAAGATATATATTGAGACTTTTAAAGACATGAAACATCAATCTTCAGTTTGTGTAACGCAAAGATCCAAAAATAAAATCTAAATGCTCAAAGAGATCTCATCGCTGACAGCTGACTCGCAAAGAGGACAGATAAATAAAACTTTGAGAGTGCTAAAAACTTTCATGCCTGATTTCTTCTTTCTCACACACACCTGCATGGGGATGTGGGTGAGGGAAAGATAAGTGTGTACCTGTGAGGTTACCTGTGATGGGATCATCCATTATTCACTCAGTGGTGACTACACTACCCCAGCGTCTATACATTATTCAACATGGCTCCCACCCCTCTCTCCTCTGCTTCAGGAAGACACACAAACACGAACAAAATACATACGTTTACCTGACAAAATCTCACAAAATCATGTGACTGAACATCAGTTTGTATTTCATAGCATTATTATTATCTATAAAATTAATTTATGTACACTGATTCAAAATACATAAAACCATAAATGTTTCTGTACAGGAGATACGGTGATATGAAGTTGCAGAAGTTCATCATCACCTGCTGCTGAAGCTGGAAACAGGATGATGTTTACGCCTGTATTTGTGCCCATTTTTTTTACCAGCTGATACATTTTAATAAAACTCTCAAAGAAGTAAACTTTAGATGTACAAACAATTAACTTTTGAAGTCAAGCCTATTGAAAGTTGAGCGATTTTATAAAACAGATATTACAGATACTGAGCTAAAATATGAAGTGATAGTAACTGAGGGTCATCTTCATGACACACATTGAGCTCTAATATAAACCACAATATCACATATGATTGTGAATACTGTAGTTTGTTGCAACTAAAACTGTAAGAACTTTGTAATTTCTCAACAGATGGTGATTTTAGTCAAACACAGTAGGTGATGCGGATTTCTTCAAGGAATTTGAGGCTTTAAAATGATTTATCGTGAAACATCATCTATTTTTAACATATTATTGATTTGAAATTTAAAAAGTAGAATACTATACTCCAGTGTTTCAAACCCTGGTCCTCAAAGCACACTGTCCTGCATGTTTTAGAAGTTTCTCTGCTTTAACACACCTGATTCAGATGATTGCAGTTCAACAAAAGCCTGTTACTCAGTTATCAAGTGGAATCAGGTGTTGAAGCAGGGAAACATCTAAAACAGATAGAGCAGTGTGCCTTGAGGACCAGGGTTGGGAGTGTGTAGCTGCTGTTTTTGATTACACTATATCTTTTAATTTTAACATGTTGGTTGATCTAAATAAATTTACGATATGAAAGACAAAAATTTAATGAAAATCCTGCTAACTGCAGCTAAAAAAAAACAATCACCCAAACATGTCTTCAACCGGACCCACCCAAACTGTAGGACTGGATGAAAACGGTTGAGGAAACCCACAAAACGAAGAGGTTAACATTTATGTTGAGGTTGCGAGCTGAACTGTACCAATTAAAATGGAACAAATGGTCTTGATTGTGTAAAAACAATTATCATGATTAGTCGTAGTCCTGTGAAATGATGGATGCTGCTCATTATCTACCTGAGTGTAAACCTGACTGCTGCATTATGCCTGTAATTTCAGCACTATTATTTTTATAGGATTGTGACTTTTATCTGTTGCCGATATTTGCTTGTTCATAATTTTCTGTTCAGTTATGTATGACAAAAAAAGAACAGCCAATAAAAACTAAGTGTAAAAGAAATAAATGTATGATAGAGAAGCTGGTGATAATAAGATAAAAAAATGTTTCTTAATACAAACGTTTATTAGCAAATACTGGAACTATAAAAACATCAAGTAAAATAATTACAAAAGTTCAAGTTATAAATGGAACATAAATCAACCTGAACTGTAATAAAAACATTTTTAAGACAAAACTTGTTTTTTTTCTGCTAATTCTTTCTAACATTTTTGTAATACAGATTTGAAAAACACTTTAGCTTTTAAAAGTTGAAACATGTCTGTTTTTAGTTGTAACTTTTTAAGTAAAAAGTTTCTTGCGGTGTTAAAAAAAATTTGTAACAAAAATATGTCACCTCAGTGTGTGGTGGAAAAGTGTTTTGGTCCCTCTAGAAATCATCACCACACGGGAGCCAGAACATCTGTAAAAAAACAAAAAAACAAAAATTAAATAACATCAGAGTTTTCTCTTTTTTCAGCAGCCTCTTTGTGATATAAGACATTAGCTCCCACCATGGAGGTGCAGGCGCTGGCGAACGTCATGTACAGAGGGTTAAACTGCAGCGTGTTGATGGGTCCTTGATGTTTGCCGTCCAGCACCGCCACCTTCATCCCGCTCTCGATGCTCCAGACGTGAACTCTGCCGTCTTCCGAACCTGAGCGAGACAGACTCTCTGCTCAGTCTCCACGCTTCAGGAGGAGAGCCAAAAATAATCCGAAACTACGGCAGCTTACCGATCATAACGAACTGCGAGTCTGGAGTGAAGCAGGCCTCCAGGGACGCTCCTTTACTGTTGTTGTAGCCCTGAAATTCAGAAAACAATGGCCGCTTACAGAAGCCACATAAAAACAGACGTCGTACAGCAGGATTGTGGTGACATTTGTCTTACTGAAAATGTGTGCTGCACAGATCCAGTGAAAGAGTTCAGGACACGAATAGCTCCGCCGTTCGTACAAATGAGAATGTGCTTCCCATCCTTACTGAACTTGAGTCCGGTCCAGTCACAGACACGATTAAACCTGGTCTCAAAGCAGGAGAACGGACCCTTTAATGAGAAAATTTAAGATAATATTAGTTTTATATATACAGTATCAGAGATAGTTTATATCACATGTGTCAAACACAAGGCCCGCGGGCCAAATGTGACTCCCGTGGCCACATTTGTGGCCATCTGAGTATTTCTGTAGATGACAGCAGTCTGACTTGTGCTGGAAGTCTGAAGTGTACAGTGTGAACAGGAATGGTGAGAGTACAGTTCCCTGTGGTGCTCCTGTGCAGCTGACCACCTGGTTAGACACACAGTCCTTCAGTCTCACAAACTGTGGTCTGTTTGTCAGGTAGTCTTTGATCCAGGCGATTGTTGAGGCCTCCACCTGAGTCTTCTGGAGTTTCAGACAAAGCAACTCAGACTCAAACTCAAACTTTTACTTTAAAAATGATAAAAACTGAACATCCTACAGTATTTTTACAGTCTTTATTTTACAGTTAAAATATATGTTTATTAAATAAAGTCTAATGTTACAACTAATCATGGATCCCTTTAAAACATGCAGGACAGTGGGCCACAAGGGACAGGGTTGGGGACCTTTGGTGCAACTGATAACGATGTGTTATAGATTAGCATTCACAGGATCTACTGCTGAAACTTTGAGATTCATGGCTTTAAAACACTAATCCACTTTATTGGTCCTGCTTAAATTAGCTTTCAGCTCATCAATCAGGTCAGAATTAAACTCTGTTTACATAAACCGAGGTTGGTCAAAAAAACACTACAACAAGCAGGGACAGACTGCACAAATGGGCTCCTAACATTTACAATACAGAAAATAACTTTGTGTCAAACAAATATTTCAACCAACTGTGCTTGAGGTTTATTTCCTCTCTTGCTGTTTGTGTCATTATGGTACAAGTTGCTTTTAAAGCTTATATCTTGCACCTCAGATATAGCAATTTCTTGTAAATGTATGTGTTCCTAACGTTTCCACAAACCTCCACTTCCAAACATCTGAACTGTGCCTTTGTTAGCTGCTTTTGAAGGTTAAGTCACACACAACACACATCCTTCCCACTCTGAACTGTACCCTGTCAAAAGCACGAAGGTCGTAGAGTTTGAGGACATGTGATTCCACTCCTGCAGCAAATATTAACCCATCCGGGTCAAATGAACAAACAGGTCTCCCCATAGTGTTCGTCAAACCCTGAAACACAAATACAAAAGAATGACGTGAAAGGAAGTCTGGATTTCATCAAATAATCATTTTTTGTTTGTTTGTTTTTTTCCAATGCTGCGATCTGACTTTTTGTTCTCTCTTTATTTCCTGTTGTAGCTTTTTGTGTGTTGGTTCAGGTTTATGGGAGAGTATAACTAGATCTGAGAGCTCAGAGTGGTTTATGGTGAACTTTAAGGTAAAGTAATCTGGGTTTTCAACTAAAACACTAAATGCATCAGAAGTGCAGAAATTGTTTTTCATTGACGTGGTTTTGTTTTTGTACCTCCTCCAAGAACCGTTTCTGTGCAGTATGGGTATGCGCCAAGTACTGTGTGATTAGTCAAAACCTTGTGGATGTGTTTATGTGGAAAAGTGGTTGCACTGACAGCTTTCTGTGGCTGTGCTGGCTGGGAGAGAGTGTGTCTCTGTCAGCCCACGTAGGGAAACTGTTCCACACAGTCTGTCAGGAACGGTGACGTTCGCTACAAGACGAATTTAAAAAACCAGCGCTTCTCCTTGGTTAACAACAGAAATAAGAGAACTTCCTCCTCCAACCACTCCATCATCACCTGAAAATTTAAACATCCGCTCTGTCAACCGTGTTGCAGTGGGAGGGCTTACCAGGACTTCTCCCCTGCGGTTTCTCACTAAGTACAAAATGTCCGGGTGAAAAAAGAACATCTCCCAARCCTTACTCACCTGACAGGTGGGCAAGCGGAGGTCCCAGATGCGGATCGTCTCATCTAACGAACTGGAGATAAATATATCCTCCACTGGAGACATGGAGAGCGCAGTAACCCTGATTACACACACACACACACACGCACGCACGCACGCACGCACGCACACACACACAATACTTTAGCTATAATCAGTTTAGATAAGGCTAAACAGTAACAAAGCATATTTTATTAATTTATTTTTTGTTGCATAAAAGAGAACTTTCCAAATTTCTGCTGAATACAGCCCCTTCTTAGTAAATTAAACGAGAAATATGAGTTTCCTAAACATGTTTTCCATTCTCTTGGGCAAGGACTGATCTGGAGTGGGTTTTTTTTTTTTTGGAACCCAGCCCCGACACAAATTTTGTGTTTTGTCAGCAATGTTTTTATTATTATCAACTTCACACACCGCCGTTTCTAAAATAGCTCTGTCACTAAGTGTGCAGGCCTGACAGAGCTGTCACTTCCTTTTATTTGTAGTCTGTTCAGTTTTGTTGGCTGTACATACAAGGAAACGATGCACCTAATGTAACTCTGTAAACACTGAACTAACCCACATAACACATCTCAATTTAATGCTTACTAGAGACTGTGTATTAGTTAAGTAAAATTTTATTTGTGTAGCAGTTAAAGCAAAGCAGACAGTGGACTGAGGTGGGGGTGAGGGGCATTACAGTGGAGGGCTAGAGACAGGATACTGTATATCGTTCTTTGTAGGGAGCCGGATCTCAAGAATCTTTTTTTTAACAATGTAAAACAGAACAATGATACAACTCTCATGAAGGGTAAAAAAATAAATAAATAAAACTACAAGCTACATGTTAGGGGGCCAGCTAAAGGATATTACAGAAAAAAAACAACTGAGCAAAATAATACAGTGAGAAAGTTAAAACAGTAAATATGTAGAGATCTGTTGTGAGATGATCTTTGCTGATTTCCAGTTTTTTAATGTACTTTAATGAAAAAAGTATACTTTAAATTCATTCATGAAACAGGGGAAGGAGGGCTTGGTATCTCTCCACTTACTACAGTGAATATGGTATTTTGCTAAAAGTATGACTACATTTATGGCATCAGAYAAGGAAGAACTTAAATTATCCACATAAAACAAAATGTCCACATCAAAAGAGGGAATGTTAAGTTTAAGATTTATCCWGTTCCTAATTTCTGACCAAAAGCTTTGTGAATAATGACAGAAGAAAAACAAARGTTCCAAGGATTCATCTTCTGACTTACAAACAGTTCACAAATCCACATCAAATCTGTTTGTTTCAAAAGGAGGTTTTGTCAACCCCGATACATGTTCCCCACATACAAAAACACCCACCCCCTTTGTCTGTTGTTCTTTGTCTCAGTAAAAAAGCAAAGGTGGAGTGTCTGCATTTGAGGAGAAAAARGTGAGAAAATCACAAGGAGCAATATTAATTTGTAAGAAAGGAGCGACTCGGTTCTAGTTCATATTAAAGAGCTGTTCAAAAGATTCAGATCAGTTGATAAAGTGACATCTCCACTGCTGTGGAGCTCTCCTGCTTCAAGTGGTGTGTAGCGAATTCGATCCAACAAAAAAGCTGCTGACGGCTGAGAAGTTTTAGTTCCATGACGCACCTCCAAAAAGAGGTTATCCATGAGTCCGATACAGTTTTTAGGCTTTTAATTGGAAAACAAAATTAAACCGTACGGATGGCGCTTGAAGCATAACGATAACGACGTTCAACAAAAAGTTTTTCCCCAAAACCTCTCGCCCAGCTGCCTGACAAGGCGCATGAGCTTCACCAGCCTGCCTGCAATCACGCCCCTTACATTTATTACCTAGAGGTGCAGGACTAATTTAAACACCTGTGCCACCAAAAAAACAAAACAAAAAAAAAACATTAATTATGGTTCCTACATGGTGCATTACTCACCGTGCGGTGTGGCCAGAGAAATATCGAAGGAATGAGTAGTTCGCGATTGACAGGTATCGGATCGTATCTAAAGGACACAAAACAAAATTTGCTTATTTTCCCCTCAATATACTAAATATTTGTGTTGCATGTGTGTGTATATATTTATATATATATGTGTGTGTGTGTGTGTGTGTGTGTGGGGTTTTTTTATTATTATTATTATTA